TGAATTAATGGATAAAAGAAAGAATATATCGATGGACCATTAAAATGCATGGTTGGATGTGAATGAGCATAGGAATAAATCCTGGATGAATGGGAGAATGGATGGATGAGAAATGCATTAAATTAAACAAGAGGTAAGTGGTTGGTTGGATGGGTGAATTGGAGAACTGATGAATAGATGAATAAATGAATGATTAAATGTAAATTGAATGGTTAGATGAAAGGAATATAAAAAGGAATTTTTATGAAAAATAAATAATAGGATTGGTACTAACTCTAGACCATACTCTCAACCAAAATTGTCTGGAAACATGCTCCAACATGTCAGGATGAGAAATGCTTGTGGCGACCAAAAGTCGCATGGCTGACAGAGATCCTACAAGTACAAAAAAGAAAGAAAGAAAATAAAATGTTGACATTGTTATATCATCAATGTTTACTTATGTTGAATTGACCAAATTTGCGACAAAGCATAGGACCAAGGGCCTGTGTTAGAATCAAGCTGTATTGCCGGATTTCAAACCGAGTGAGGACTGTGCAAAATCCCTTAATTGGATAATCACGAGATAGGTCGAGGTAAGACTTACATAGAAAGAAAGCCCTTGTTGAGAAATGCAAAATTCCAAAATCTGGTGTCAATCAGTTCAATAGTGAACGAGTTACAGCTTTTCAAATATTCTAAAATTTCCAAAGAAATTGATCTTGCGAATGTGTCCGAATTTTGACCATTTTCCGGACACATTCACTGCTTTCCATACATTTCTTTGGAAATTTTAGAATACTTGAAAGGCTGTAACTCGCTCTCTATTGAACTGATTTGGAATTTTGCATTTTTCAACAAGGGCTTTTTTTCTATGTAAGTCTTATGTCATGATTATCCAATAAGGGGATTTCGTCCAGTCCCCYACGGTTTGAAATCCGGCAATGACTTATAATATCAAAAGCATTATCTGTCGTTGATATCTACTTCCATATTGAACACTATACAAATTAAACCATTTTGATCTATATACATACCTTTGTTTAACATGACATCAGCAAAATCCTGAAAGACAGTAAAAATGACTAATACCACTTATTATAATACATTATTTGTTGATAACTAATGATATTTTAGACACAGAATTTCTGGCTCCTCAAGTCAAGTATCGTGCCATTGTAATCTCACATTGTGCATTGCAAGAGATAAATAACTAGGGACTTTGTCACTGCTCCATGCATTATGTTGAGGCCATTCCCCTCAGCAATATTTAAATTTATGTAAMGTGCTTGTGTTGTTATGTGTCTATCTGCTGTGTAGTGCGAGTGAGGCCTCGAGTAAGCACGTGGAGTCAGCTTGTTGTTCTTGAGAATGTTCAAAATTAGTAAGTGTTTTTTTTTGTATTCTGCCTGTTTGTACTGTGTTTGTAATGCTCAGTGTCTTTTTTTAAAGGATTTTACTGGGTACGCATATAAGTAATCCATGTGAACGAACAAGAATAAACAACAAATCAATGCCTGGCTCAAGTAGTGTTTGCCCCCCCCCCCCCCCCCCACAACACATTATTTATTAATTAGAAGCTTAATTGGATTCTTTGAACATCATACCTTGGGTTGTTGAAGGGGAACTCCATAGAATTCCCTCAGTCTTTTCAAATCTTTAGCCATATATGCACCTTTGGCTGGTACCATGGCAGGTGGCCTGTTTCCTAGTAAACACAACAAGAAATCTAATTAAGCTATCATCAATAGCCAATAAAATAAATRATTGATTGTTGCTGTATAATAGACCTAACCAGCTAATGCGTTGCCACACTACGTTACCACCCAATTCAAATTCTGTGGGGGAAAGAACTTTTGTTTCTAAGAATTCAACTGTGAGCCATTCCATTTTATATCCACACCCCCCTCCAATCGAGGTCATGTCACAACACCCCCTAGAAAAATAAAGATCAAAGGTTCCGACACATTAAACCCCCCAGAAATTTATCTATCTTTAACTCACCCCCTCCCCCGGAAATATCAAAAGAACAAAGCCGCCGACACATTTTAGCCCCAGAAAATTGATTTTAAGTACCCCCMAGAAAAAGTCCTCGACAGGTGGGGGTGTGGATTAATATGGAATGGCCCTCTGAAATGGAATGGAAATACAACGAACAATGAAACTTACTCCCGGGTGGTTTGAATTGTGTGGAAACGTTTATAGCAACGCGTTAACTGACTAGCCGGTCTATCACCTGATGAATTCATTACTCCACCAAGAAAGAACGGACGAAACCGTAAATCTAAATGCCATACTGGACGGTAACGACACAGCACCTATTATAAAGGTAAGAACTGCAAGTCTGTCAAGATTTTCGTGAATTTGGATACGATATTTGACATTTTTGCAAGAAATAAAASAATTTAAAACACACTGAAACATAGCATGGTATACTCGTCAAGTATTGTTTATGCAAACCTCAAAGGCAACCCAGGAATAAGGCGAAAGGACATCATAAAACAGCTCTACGGTTCTCTTAGCAACCGCCATCTTGAATACCGAAAAAGACTGGTACCAGTGCGATAAAACAAATGAATAAATGAATGGACAATGAAATATGAAATGAAAAAAAATATATTCATATACGATTTAACAAAAAAAAATATATATTGTGCTACTGTGCTACTTGTTGATAGGAATTCCCAAAAACCAGAGTTATAGAAAATGAAAGAAAATACTATTTTTTTGTTGGGTATCCTGTGGAGTAGCGTTTGCGATACAGGAAACTGGCACTGGAAAGTTCAAAATGGCGGACGAATGATAAAACTTTATATTCTTGTTTGGAGAGGAAATACAAGAAGAAAAACGGTCACAAACTCAGAAACATAACATTACAAAGATGTATCTATTTGGAGCATGTCTATTATCAAGATTTGTAAATTAAAAGCGCAAGTATGGATGAAAARTGATTATCAAAGGCCATCAAATCAGAAAATACCAAGTTGCATTCATCGATCAAGTTTCTTAGTTAATGATTATGGCAGCGATTTCGACTTGCTGGTCAAGAAAAGTCTTCAGAACTCAAATAGGACTGTTTGCATCTGCAAGACGTCTCAAATTTGAATCTCCGGCTTGGTCACAAAAGTTGACATTGAAACCGAACTATCTTTGTTTCACCTTACAAAATAGATCAATAAGTGTTRAAATACCACCAGACGTTATACAAGAGTCTTTATCTAAGAGTAATARGGAAAGAATTATCAAGGAGCTTGAAGCAATGGAGAAAGGACAGCGTTTGTCTTGTCCAGAAGAAGCGGCTGTACTTGTTCCTTTTTGCACCGTTGATAATAAACCTTCTTTATTGTTTACATTGCGGTCTAATGCTTTGCCAACCCACAAAGGTCATGTAAGGTCAGTTAAAAGTTATGAAGTAGTTGTTTACTGTCAGGTTCATATTGAGATATAAGTTGTTGTAGAAACATAACACAAGAGAAAAACTAAAGCACAACCAAACACTACATGTACCCGGCGAATCTGGAGCAGAAGTTCTGGTTTACTTGCGTAAATTGTGCACTTTGCAAACTTTGCTTTATACGCTTTGCTTTGATGGCTTATGTAATTTGCAAAGTACGGATTACAATATAACCTAATCTTGGCTTTTTGCACATATCACATCTAGATTTTTGTCACTATCCGCATCAAGTGTAGTCCCTTCTAACGGCCGCAACTTCTGGTTTCGTCAAATGTTAAATTTTGACAAAACCAGAATCAACCGGAAGCCGCGGCTGTTAGAAGACACTCTACATCAAGTGATATTAGGAAATTCTGAAATCTCCAATATCCCACTTCAGAATTGTCTTAATTGGAATAAAAAACAAATCTGAAGACACCATTATTTTAAGAGAAACTCTAATCAAAGTTTTCTTATGTTTTTTTTTTTAACTCAGTTTTCCAGGTGGGAAGAGAGATAAAGAGGATAAAAACTTTGTTGAAACAGCAATTAGGGAAACAGTTGAAGAAATTGGAATCCATGAAAATGTTATAGATGTCTGGGGAACATTGCCACCCTTGCCAGATTGGGTAAATATCATTGTTCAATTAGCATTTAGATTAAAAAGCAAAAGGAAATTGAAACAAGACGAAACTTAATATCTTAACTTCTTGCTCTATTTCAGAAAGGGAAAATTTCTGCAACTCCTGTTGTGTCATTTCTTGGAGAAATTGATGTGGACAATATTCACTATGACCATATAGAGGTAAAAGATATATGATAATGATGATAAATAATAAGAAATGGTTATCATCATCTAGATATTCATTATGTTTTTTTCAGGTCTCAAAGGTTTTCCACTTGACACTTGAACACATTCTTGAGCACAGARGATACACAAAATWCACTAGTGGARTYACRMTGCCTGTTTTTGTAAATGGTCCACATCTTGTTTGGGGRATGACTGCATCAATTATGGATATTTTCTTTGAAATAATGTTYCCTGGTTATYACAAAAAGGTTTTTGAATATTCGTATTCTCATAGAGCAAAATTACCATGGCTAACAGAACAAAACAGAGAAATAATGAAAGTTTTTAACCTTGAAAAATAAAATACAGTTGGAAACACTATAAATGAATGAAAATATTCTTTAACAGTCCTTAATTTGGATTTAGGATATTTGACATTTTACATAAATATAAAAATCGAAAAGACAATGAAACATAKCATAGATACGGCTGTCAAGTATTGTCTAAGCAAGCCTCAAATGAAACCCAGGAATATACAGTCAACAACTCAACCTCGTTTCCAGTGCCCTCTCTGTAGCTATTTTCAAAATGCGACCACAAACGTTAAAAGTGTTAGAGGTTGTAAACAACTCCATGGTTTGTCTTGCGAACCGCAATCTTAAATACGGAAAAAGACTGGTACCAGTGCAATAGATAAACAAATGAATGGACAATGAAATATGAGATTATATTTTTATACATTATAATTTTTTTTTGTGCTTTGTGTACTATGAATTCTCAAAAWGTAAAAAATATTTTTTCTGTTGGATTCCCTTTGGTGCGTTTGCAGGTGCGGGAAACTGGGACTGGAAAAATTCAAAATGGCGGAYGAATGATGGTGAAAAACTGTCTTTGTTTCGTCTTTGTTTTAGAAAAGGAGGTGCTATAGAAGGAAAACGGTGAAAACACTCAGAAATATAACATTAGAATGCTGTATCTATTTGGGACAATTCTACCATTGGGATTTGTGAATTAAAAGCGCAAGGCTGGATGAAAAGTGATCACCCAAATTACAGAAAATCCACCAGGTTGATTCATCAAACGTTTTCTCAAGATTATGGCAGCGATTTTGACTTGCAGATCAAGCAGAAAAATCTTCAGAACTCGAAAAGTGTTGTATGCAACTGCAAGACGTAATTTGACAAACTTATTCTGTTTCAAATTTGAAACTCCAGCTCTGTCACAAAAGATGACGTTATCAAAGCCAAACCATCTTTGTTTCGCTTCACAAAACAGATCAATAAGTGTTAATATACCCCCAGACGTTATACAAGAGTCTTTGTCTAAGAGTAATAGGGAAAGAATAATGAAGGAGCTTGAAGTGATGGAGAAAAGGCAGCTTTTGTCTTGTCCAGAAGAAGCGGCTGTACTTGTTCCTTTTTGCACYGTTGATAATAAACCCTCTTTATTGTTTACWTTGCGATCTAGTGCTTTGGTGAGCCATAGAGGTCAAGTAAGGTTAGTTTAAGTTATGCAAGGATTATAGATAATAATATTAGATAATCCTTGCAAATCACAGCTGTTTTTTGTCACTTTCTGCACGGGGAGCACAGGCTCTTTATCAGTGGTTCTTATGTACACCACCCCTCCCCTCTATATGTACCATTATTTTGAAGAGTTTATGTGGTG